TGTTGACTGACTGGTGCAGGGCTATGAAAGACCAGTTCCTTTGCCTTGAATAAGCTCAAATTTAGAGGCATTTTTAAATACTCCAGAGCTCCCTTGTTAGATCAGGCTAAAGCTAGATTTTGACTGAAATTATACCCTTGCTTGGCTGCTATTTCTTCCTTCTCTTGCTCCTCCCTCCCAGTTTCTCCTGGGAGAACCTCTTGATATCACTTAGACTTGAATCCTTCTCTCACAGTCTACTTCTGGGGAATCTAAACTAAAATAGCATGAATCATAAGCCTTCCTCATATTCATAATCTTTGGAAACACTTTTGGGAACATGGTAATACACTGCTATTTCCAACACATTCTTAGAATATTGACTTTTGGCACTTTGGGATGGCCAAAACATATATTAAAAACGACACTAGTGCATTAGCTGCATTTCTCATTTGGTTTAACTCATGGCTCCCTTTTTACCTTATTGAGTTATGCTGGTGTTACTAGATATTAAATAGCTTATCTTAAAAGTCAGTCATTGCAGTCACAGCAGTGGATTGTCCCTCACTATGCATGAATCCTTACTGCTCCATTCAGAAAAATTGGTCAGTATTAATTATTTAATTGCATTGCCTGGTAGGTTATACAGTCACTGTTTATTTCAGTATTGCATCATGAGAAGCTTTTTATCCTGAAATGGTTTCAATAATAAAAGATTTTTCTTTTCCATAGCATTTGATAGATATTTTCATTTAGAGGGCTGGGGATGTGGCCCCGTGGTGAAGTTCTTGCTTAGCATGTATGAGGCTCTGGGTTTGATCCCCAGCTTCACCACAAAAAAGTGTGTGTGGGTGGATTTTCATATAGAACTATTTGGTACTGATGTGGGTTTTTTTTTGGGGGGGGCATCATCATTTGACAGCTTTTTCTAATTGTTGGAGTTGTTATAGTCTGTTTAGGTTCTTTTTGTTTTTTTTTTTCCCCAAATCAGAGGTATATGTAGTTTGCTGAGGCATATGTAGTTTACTTAAAGAGTCAGGTTCTACAAGATTTGTTAAGACAAAACACCAGGTTTACTTATTCTTCCTGCTTCTAATGCTTTTTGTTGTTGTTATTTTTTTCTTCATGACTTATCACTTTCAACTCTTAGCTAATTCTTTGGGTATTACATATGCATGTTAAATAATATGCATGGAGCTAATTCTTAATTTTTTAATTTAGGCTGTATTTATTGAGTGATCCTTGGTTACAGATGAGACTTTTGTTCTTGACAAATTTGATTTCTCCTTTTAAGTTCTCTGTGTGTGTGGTGGGGGGGGGGGTTTGCTGGGGATTGAACCCAGGGCCTTGGGCATGCAAGGCAAGCACCCTACTAACTGAGCTACATCCCCAGCCCTCTCCTTTTAATTCTGACAGTTTTTCTGTATGCATTTTAATGTACATCCTTCATTCCCCCATCTTTCCAATATAGTTAGAGATTTTACTGATCAGCTGTTCTCTAAGTATGGACCAGGGACCCTTGTCTTACCCCCACCCAGACTTTTTCAAGGAATCTGTAAGGTCGGAGCTTTTCATAGTAATAATTTAACTTACTTTTTAAAACAATGTACAAAGGAGTTTTCCAGAGATATTTTCCAGAGGCATGTATTGTGTGATCTGACTGCAGAAGCAAATATGAGAATCCAGTTGTCTTCTGTTGATGCAAAATGCAAAACCATGTCATTCATTTTTTAAAAAATATTTTTCATCTGCAGCTAATTAAGCCAACTGGGTTCCTTTACTTGTGGTGGCCCAGTGTGCAATGGCTGTAAATAGCAATCTCCTCGGTAGTGTATGCAGCCTGTTTCTCATATGGGTTGCCCTAAGGGACCTTGGAGACAGCACTTTGAGTAGATGTTCATATTTCTGATCTCATGGTGTCCCTCATCTAGGCTCCAAACAGGTATGTGGGGTGCCTTTGGGAAACCCCAGGGAACAGTGGCCAAGGTTCACATTGGCCAAGTCATCATGTCCATCCGCACCAAGCTATAGAACAAGGAACATGTGATTGAGGCCCTACGCAGGGCCAAGTTCAAGTTCCCTGGCTGCCAGAAGATCCACATCTCAAAGAAGTAGGGCTTTACCAAATTTAATGCTGATGAATTTGAAGACATGGTGACTGAGAAGCAGCTCATTCCTGATGGCTGTGGGGTCAAATATATCCCCAATCGTGGTCCCCTGGACAAGTGGCGGTCCCTGCATTCATGAGGGCTTCTAGTATGCTGTCTCCTTCTCAGTCACACACACACCAATATATCCTGTATTGTATCCAAAAAAAAAAAATATATATATATATATAATATATATATACACTTTTCAGTTGTCAATGGACCTTTATTTTATTTATTTATATGTGATGCTGAGAATCAAACCCAGTGCCTCACACATGCTAGGCAAGTGCTCTACTACTGAGCCACAACCCCAGCCCTCAATTCATTTTTTGAAAATAATTATTTTTTTGTGAAATGTTGACATATAAATTTTTAAAAAATTATTGTTATGCTGTCACTTTATTGAGCACTAATTAGGAAACCAATGTAATTGTTCATTACTAAAAATAGGCAAACAATTTTTAAAAATCACTTCTCCATTCCCTAGAGTTTTGTCCCTATTCTGCTTAAAATTCACTCTATTTCTTAGCACACCCCAGGCAGAGTCATAGTCAGGGCTTAATAAAAAACTAGTTGAAAATTTTTACATTGCCTGCACATCTACACAGTATAAAAATCAACTCTTCTGTCCTTTTCTTGTTTTGATTCCTTCACTTCTGGAACAATCACCTCTTACCCAGTAAAACTAGGCATTTCCAAAGTCACCTGCACATTACATATACTTGGAGGAGCTCTAGTTTTCAGAGGGCTATCATAGTGTGTGTGTATCATTTGCAGCTGCCCAGAATCTTTTGAAAATCTTTCATTCGGGGTTACATTTGGTTAGCCTGCAAATTGTGAGTCCCTGTTTCCTAAGGTAGAATCATAGTTACTACAGTACACTATAAGAACTAGATTCCCTTGGTTCTGCATATATATCTGAGTGGAGTTGGGATGCAGATGTGAGCCATGGACAGTATTGAGCATTTAGACTACTCTGTTCAAAACTGTAACCATTTAAATTAATTAAAATTAATGGAAATAAAAAGTTCAGCTCCTTAGTCTCACTAGCTACATTCAAGAGCTCAGTAGCTATGTAACTAGTATACAGCATAACAACAGAACATTTCTATCATCATAAAAGTTCTATTGGACATTTCTGGTCTAGAAGGCAACAATGGCAGGTACTCTTCTGAGTAGTAAGCTAGAGCAAGGGACTTGCAAAGCAACATGTGATAGAATGGACAGTGGCAGTAGTGCTTTCTCTAGAATGGTTCCTAGATGTCTTTGGGTATTCCTTTCTGGCTTTGGGGCATCCAAGTATAGTTTTCATGTCCTTTTAGAGATTTTGTGATTGTCCTAATATCTAATCACAAATCTCTTTCTGTTTAAATTAGCTTAAGTTCATTGTAACTTAATTGAGAATTCTGATTTATACTGAGATGCTTTCTGACACACTTGATATTGGAGAGGGACAGTTGAATAATTGGTGCAATTTTTTTTGGCTCTGATTAACTTTGATCTTGGTGGATTTGATTTTCTTGCCAATCCAAACGATCATAAATTTAATGATTATATTGGGATGAAAGTAGGTGGCTATTGAAGAAAACTTAGTTTGGAGTATCTCCAAAAGATAATTGTACACGGATGTAAGTAAAAGACAGGTGTCTTTTCAAGTTTTGATCATCTCTTGTTACCATTCAGAACTTCCAGAGCCCCTGGAGAGCAGGAATCTTGAATCTTCTTTATTGCCCTAAAGATGACCTGCTAACAAGGCATAACAGGAGTCCCCAGCAGCCCTAAAGTATTTTGAGAAGAGCCTGGAGGAACATTTGTTGATCTCAAGAATTATATGGAGGTTTGAGTGTAGGGCTTATGGAAAGTTAAAAGATTATATGCACTGTTTACCCATCTTCTTATATTACTTAAACTTCTGTCTTTGTTGGGGTCATTTTAGCTACCTCAGTAGCCTCTTCTCAAAAGTCTCTGGGCCTTTGGACAATTCCCTCAAAGTGCTGCTTCTGTGACCATAATTTCTTTTTGCTATTTATGCTTGTTCTATAGAAAGTAGGGACTGAATATTTTAGTGAATGACCTTTTGGGGAAAAGGGAGGTGGTTTCTTCTTATACTCAAGATTTAATTGACATATTAAAAGTAAGCTATTTTTTTTCTCATAACTTCTGTTTGTTGCAAAAGAAAAACATTGAAAAGACTATTACATTCTTTAAAATTAAAATTTTGGGTTGAAATGCTGTTTAGTTTGGAAGTAGCAAATCTTACCTGGCAGGGTTGTTTTGAAGATTGTAAATAAAAAGTACTTAGCTTAATAACTGCAGGAATGTAGAGGACTTGAGTAACTGAACTATCTTTTATTATTACTTCCACCACTTACCTCCAATACTGTCACCCACACTGCTGCTGCAACATTGCCAACTCTGTTCTCTCTAGGAGAGAAACAATAAGCTGAATGTCTGCTGCTTTTCTGATAGGGCCCAGTTTTACATGGTCTCTAGTTTCTTAGTGCAACTCTGGGGCTTGTACAGCTTCTGCAACAACTCCCTTTTGTTTCAAATCAGAATGTTTCTCCCTTGTTATTGCTACAAAGTGGTCACTTTTTGAATTTGGCACTTACTAGTATATGAGTTTACTTTGGAAGGTAGAGGCTACCAGACCTGTGAGCTGTAATTACATTTTTGTTTAATCTCCTCAAAATCTTGAGCTCTTGGTCCCTGAGTGAGTTGGGCAGGGGTCCAGTATGGTATCTGCTGCTGCCCACCACTGTTGGCTCTTTGCTGTCAGCAGGAAATCTTGGCAAAGCAAGTAGGTATGTGGCAGTGGCTGCCTCCTTGTCTGTCTAGCTCTCCCACATCTGATAGTAAACAGCAGACATCTTCATTGGGAAAGTGTGTTCAGGTGATATATTTTGTTGTTGAAAAGTCATCAAATGGGCTGGGGATGTGGCTCAAGCGGTAGCGCGCTCGCCTGGCATGCGTGCGGCCCGGGTTTGATCCTCAGCACCACATACAAACAAAGATGTTGTGTCCGCCGAAAACTAAGAAATAAATATTAAAAATATATTAAAAAAAAAAAGAAAAGTCATCAAAAGTTAAAAAAAAAAAAAAGTAAAAGAATATGGCCAACATGTGGCTACTGCTTGGATACATCATTCCAATATTTATTTCCAGGTATAATGCTAGCAAAATGGCATATTATTCTCAGTTGCCATAGTAGACCCTTGGTTTTGGTGAATTTAGAGTTTTCCATTTCATTTATTTCCCAGGATCCTGAACAACTTTGGCCTGAACAAGTGGTTGAGCCTGGTAAGTCGTGTATCCATGTTGGCCTCTACCTCTAGCAATTTTTGTGAAATGCCATAATAGTATTTGTGAATTTGGAGATTTGCAAAAATATCAGGGTATATAGCTTTAGAATGTTAGGATCTAAGCCGGGTGCTATGGTACATGCCTGTAATCCCAGCAATTCAGGAGTCTGAGGCAGGAGGATCACAAGTTCAAAGCTAATCTCAGCAATTTAACTCTCAGCAACTTAACAAGAGAGTCTTTCTTAAAATAAAAAGGGAAAGTTCTGGGAATATAACTTAGTGGTTAAATACCCTGGGTTCAATCCCCAGTGCCAAAAAAATAAAAAATTAAAAAAATTAAAAAATGTTTTTAAAAATTTAATCTTAAATATATATATTTATATTTTAAAACCCACATAGTTCCATAAGGCTTATAGTTATTTTTTTTAATTGCTGCCTTTTCTTCCATGTCTCCTACCCCACTTCCCATGTGAATTTGCCTCCCCTTACTCCTAATATCCCATGTTATGACTATGTAAATCTTGTCCGCAAATGAACCACTTGGTATGCTACAACTAAACAACCTCTTATTTTTCCTGGGGCTAATCATTGCTTCATTTAAAAATTTTCTTGTTTCTTTAAGAATGTATTTTTACACTTTGATGAAACTGCTAAAGGCTTCCCATTCTCATCCACATCAGGTGATCTATCCATTCCTTTTTTTAAAAAAAACCCTTAGAGATTTTCTTCTTGGCTACTCCTTCTTCCTCTATTCTAGTCTGAACTGGTTGTTCTTGGCCCACTGCCTAGTTGTCATCTCAAGCTTTATCACCATCTAAAATTCTCTTTGCCTGTCTTCTGTGGTGGGTATTCTGTTTTCTGTGTTGTTCCTTGATCTTTCCCTGATTTATTCTCAACTTTACGGCTTTAGAAGCTTCTTGAGACAGAAGATGAGGGAAGTAAAACCTTGCATTTTCAGTTCTTGCTTGTCTGAAAATGCCTTGGTTTACCCTCATAATTGATTGGTAGGATGTGGAATTCTAAATTAGAAATAATTTTCTTGGAGAATTTTGAAGGAAATATCTTCTAGTTTTCAACATTGCTTTGAAAAAGCCTAAATGTCAATTTTATTCCTGATTCTTTGTCACCTGCCCCCAACTCAGGATCTTTAAATCTCAGATGTTGTAAAATATCGTGGTAATGAGCCTGGTGTAGTCTTTTGTTTCTTCATTCATATCGTTGAGCATTTAGGGGCTCATTTAGTCTTCATAAGAAAATTCTTCGGTTCTAAAATTTGTTCTGATATTTCTTAAATTATTTTTCTCCTCTTTTTCTGTCTTTTGTCTTTCTTATAGTCAGAGTTGGACCTCATTACTTAATTCTTTTTTTAAAACTCCATTCACTTTTATTTCTCCTTTGTTATGTCTTTGAGAGTTCCTCAATCATTCTCTTTCAGCTCTTCCATTAACTTTTTGAAAAAACTTTTCATGCTGGGCATGGTGGTACACGCCTATAATCCCAGTGGCTCAGGAAGAGGATTACAGGTTCGAAGCCAGCCTCAGTAACTTAGCAAAACCCTGTCTCAAAATAAAAAATAAAAGAGGGCTAGGATGTGGCTCAGTGGTTATGCATCTTTGGGTTCAATCCCTGGTACAAACACACACAACTTTTTGCTATTTTTAATTTCTTCTTTTAAAAAAATTTAAAAGTACATTATTTCATGGATGTACTGTTCTTTCTTTCTGATGATGTTAATTATAGGTGTTTTCCCCACTGAGTCTTCTTTGCTTTTTCTTGCATTGCTTCTGATTCTTCCAAATGCTTCCCTGTCCCCATTTATTTGCTGCTTTGTCTTTTGTTTTTTCTTCCAGTTTATGTCCCTCCTAAATGTTCATGTTTAAGAGTGAAGCACTGACTATGGTTGGAATATGAGTAGGGACAGATGGGCTTCATAATGTGGAAACTAGATGGAGTCCCAATTGTTGTATCGGAGGGGCTTCCAAATATCAGGTTCTCCAGAGAAGAATCTCCAGGCTACTTCTTGGGTGGTATGAGTCTGGCTTCTAGTCTTCTAGCTGAAAAGGTCAGAGGGTATCCCATCATTTGAATGCAAACTTTAATTTAAAACTTTAGCTTTCAGTGTAGTGCTGATCCAGCCTCAGTGGTCACTTAGTGCCCTGAGTACAGGTTCAATTCCCCAGGCCCTGCAGGAGACTGGAATGCTTACTTTCCCCAGCAGGCCACCACTGCGAGAGGCAAGAGCCCCTTCCTTGTCTCCTGTTGTTCCCCTATCATAGCACTTGTAATTCTTTATATTAGAGTTGCCTGTTTCCCTTAAGGAACTGAATCCGATCATTTTCTCTCTATTAACTTAGGTGCGTTAGCTATTTGTGTCCTGAGGCTTAGCCATGTTCAGCCAAATCCCATCGCAGAAGCCACAGATTGATTCTCTGGAGAGGGTGAAACAGCTTTTAGCTCTGTGGCTTCTTCAGCTGAAGAGCCTGTGGGCAGAAGGCACCAAGGAATGCCTTTTGAGAGTTACTGGCCTGGTATTTTAACCACATAATAAGAGATTATCCCAAGTCAAGGGTAGGGGACTTTGAACCAGCAGTCACAAAGTTCCTAGGAGATGTAGTAGTTTCTCAGATGAAAATAGGAAGTTCTTATTTCTAATGAGTCCAGAAGATAAAAACATACAGACATTTAATGTCTTCTTTTTAAATTTTTTAGTTTCAGATGGATACAATACCTTCATTTTATTATTTTTTTTTTAATGTGGTGCCTAGGATCGAACCCAGTGCCTCATGCATGCTAGGCAAGCAGCACTCTACCACTGAGCCACAACCCCAGCCTGACATTTAATGCTTCTAAACACAGCATTGGAAAGCTATAGAGATATATGTGATATTTTAAGTAGTCAGAACAGTGAGTTTAGTACAGACTCTGTAGTTCAAAGTAGACTCTGAAAAACTGGCTTTGGACCAGGATTGTTTATCTTGTTTTCCTTTCCCATTTGTTTTTTAAAATTTATGTATAGGTTTATTGGGCTTTCTTGAGTTATAATGTATATACCATAAAATTGCTTATTGTAACAAATATGCATATTTTAGTACATTTTTAGTTGTATACCTGTGACCATAATTAGAACATTTAGAATTAGAACATTCTGTCATACCTACCCCTAAATCCCTTTTTCCATTTGTATTCATTCCTTAATCCTGTCATCTACTGTCTCTGTAGATTTATCTTTTCTATGCCCATGGGATTTTTTTAAATTGAGTAGACTTTCAGCCACACCTCCTGTTTTCATCTCACATTTACTTTCCTTCTCCTGGCACCTGAGCCACTTGTTTCTGAGCCTTTGTGGAGAGGGATTTATATATGTCAGGTTGTTTTATCTACTGCCAGTTTAAGAGCATTTGGGGTATGCAAAGACTGTATTCATTCACTTGCTTCCCAGCTTCCAAAATGTCATTGATGTCTTTTCTCCCTTTCTGATTTTTCTAGAGTTCATACCTTTATTTATCTATTTACTTGTTTTTTATTTTTTTAGTTATAGGTGGATACAATGTCTTTATTTTGCTTTATATGGTGCTGAGAATCGAACTTAGTGCCTCACGCATGCTAGGCGCGTGCTCTACCTCTGAGCCATGATCCCAGAGCCCCCTCTACCTTTTTAAAAAAATGTTTTTGTTTTTTTTTTTTTAGATGTAGATGGACCTTTGTTTATTCATTTATTTCTGTGGTGCTGAGGCTCGAACCCAGTGCTTCACACATGCTAGGCAAGTGCTCTACCACTGAGCCACAACTTCAGCCCCTAGGGTTTATACCTTTAAGATGACAACAACAAAACCAAAAATTATAGTATCTTTTTTTTTTTTTTGTACTAGGGATTGAACCCAGGGTTACTTAACCATTGAGCCACATCCCCAGCCCTTTTTTATACTTTATTTAGAGACAGGGTCCTACTGAATTGCTTAGGGCCTCACTAAGTTGTGGAAGCTGGCTTTGAACTTGTGATCCTCCTGCCTCAGCCTCCTAAGCCACTGGGTTTACAGGCATGCGCCAACGTGCCTGGGTGTAGTGTCTTTTTAATGGGGTTTCAGGAATGGGGTTGGGGGGGGGGTGCATGTGTGTAATTTACTACCATCTAGAACCAGAAATCTTCCAGTTTAATTTTGATTTGCCCTTTTGCTTATTTAAGGTTGTGAAGACTGGAATTTCTTGGCATTCATTTGCTGCTCTAGAGAATGTAGAATCCTGACAGACTTGTGTGAGGTCAATATGCCTTCACACACACATTGGTCTTTTCTAACTCAGACCCTTGGTGTTCTAAGTGGGTCATATGAAATTATGGGAAGCTTATAAGGAGCCCACGTGTGTACACAAATTGGCATCTGCTCCTTATTTGACAAATTCTTAGTTTGGGTGCCCCTCATTGGAGACATCACAAGGTTTTAACAGGTATAGGCTTAGCCATCTGTACCTTTCTTTTTGTCTCACCCTTTGTGTTTTGGCTTTGCCTTATGCTTTTCTAAGTCTTAACACTTTTCTTTCTTTGTTTTTCCTATAGGATCATGGATTTTCCTGGTCACTTTGAGCAGATCTTCCAGCAGTTGAATTACCAGAGACTTCATGGCCAGCTGTGTGATTGTGTCATTGTAGTGGGGAATAGACATTTTAAAGCCCACCGCTCTGTGCTGGCAGCATGCAGCACACATTTTCGAGCTCTGTTCTCAGTGGCAGAGGGAGATCAGACCATGAACATGATCCAGCTGGATAGCGAGGTAGTGACAGCGGAGGCCTTTGCTGCGCTGATTGACATGATGTATACCTCCACCCTCATGCTGGGGGAGAGCAATGTTATGGATGTCTTATTGGCAGCCTCTCACCTGCATTTGAACTCTGTTGTTAAGGCATGTAAACATTACCTAACAACAAGGACGCTGCCCATGTCTCCCCCCAGTGAGCGCGTTCAAGAGCAGAGTGCCCGCATGCAGCGCTCTTTTATGCTGCAGCAGCTGGGACTAAGCATCGTGAGCTCAGCCCTCAATTCCAGCCAGAGTGGTGAGGAACAGCCAGCCCCCATGAGCTCATCGATGCGCAGTAACCTGGACCAGCGGACACCCTTCCCTATGAGGCGCCTTCATAAGCGCAAGCAGTCTGCAGAGGAGCGGGCCAGACAGCGCCTCCGCCCCTCCATGGATGAGTCTGCCATTTCAGATGTCACAGCCGAGAATGGGCCTTCAGGGGTTCATTCTCGGGAGGAGTTCTTTTCACCAGATTCCCTGAAAATTGTGGATAATCCTAAAGCTGATGGAATGAATGACAACCAGGAAGATAGTACTATGATGTTTGACCAGACTTTTGGTGCTCAAGAAGATGCCCAGGTGCCTAGCCAGTCTGACAACAGTGCTGGTAACATGGCACAGTTGTCCATGGCCTCTCGTGCAACTCAGGTTGAGACTACTTTTGAGCAGGAAGCTGCAACTGAGAAAAGTGGCTTCCAATGTGAGAATCCTGAGGTTGGCCTTGGTGAGAAGGAGCACATGAGAGTGGTGGTAAAATCTGAGCCTCTGAGCTCACCTGAGCCTCAGGATGAAGTGAGTGATGTGACCTCTCAAGCAGAAGGCAGTGAGTCCGTAGAAGTGGAAGGAGTTGTTGTTAGTGCAGAGAAGATAGACCTCAGCCCTGAAAGTAGTGATCGGAGTTTTTCAGATCCCCAGTCCAGCACGGACAGGGTAGGTGATATCCACATTTTGGAAGTTACAAATAACCTAGAACATAAGTCCACTTTTAGTATTTCAAATTTTCTCAACAAGAGCAGAGGAAGTAACTTTAGTGCGAATCAAAACAATGATGATAACATTCCAAACACCACTAGTGACTGCAGGCTGGAGGGCGAGGCCCCTTACTTGTTAAGTCCAGAGGCTGGGCCTGCAGGCGGGCCCTCCTCTGCCCCTGGCTCCCATGTGGAGAACCCATTCAGCGAGCCTGCAGACTCCCACTTTGTCAGGCCCATGCAGGAGGTGATGGGCCTACCCTGTGTGCAGACTTCAGGCTACCAAGGAGAACAGTTTGGGATGGATTTTTCCAGGTCTGGTTTGGGCCTCCACTCCTCCTTCTCCAGGGTAATGATGGGTTCCCCCCGAGGAGGAGCCAGTAACTTTCCATACTACCGCCGCATAGCTCCCAAAATGCCAGTTGTAACTTCTGTCAGGAGCTCACAAATCCCGGAAAACTCTGCCAGTTCCCAGCTAATGATGAATGGGACCACATCCTCATTTGAAAATGGCCATCCCTCCCAGCCTGGCCCCCCCCAGTTGACCAGGGCATCTGCTGATGTCCTATCAAAGTGCAAGAAGGCCTTATCAGAACACAATGTCTTGGTTGTAGAAGGAGCTCGCAAGTATGCCTGCAAAATCTGCTGCAAAACTTTTCTGACTTTGACAGATTGCAAGAAGCACATCCGCGTTCACACAGGTGAAAAGCCGTATGCCTGCCTGAAGTGTGGCAAGAGGTTTAGTCAGTCCAGCCACCTGTATAAACATTCCAAGACTACCTGCCTGCGCTGGCAGAGCAGCAATCTTCCTAGCACTTTGCTCTGACTATTTGTCCTCAGGAGACAGTGCCAGCTAGTTGCGGGACTAAAACTAAAACCGTTTTGGTGGGTGGTTAATGCCATTGGGTTTGAGGCTTCCGCTGCCCAGTGGCTCTTGCAATTTTCAATGACTAGTAAGTGGACAACTGTTCATGTAGCACTTGTGCTGCAGCATTTCTGAGTGAAATGCGCATCTGGGGAGAGGGATGTGATCCCTAGAACCAAGTTCTTCCTTAGGGTTGACTGACATAGTCATAAAGTAGTTTGTAATTGATGTTAAAAGTGGCACACTTAAAAATTGAAGTGCAAAAAATTTTTTTAGCAATTTTTGTAAAGCTCTGTGAAGCATTTAATTACATATCCTATATGTAATGGGAATATTGTATCCCTGTACAGCGATGCAAAGTACACTTACGTGTAACCAGTGGCAACTTTGTGCCTGTCTGAAAGGAAGGCCCTTGAAGACAGGCCTGTTTGCCACAAATGCTTTAAAGTGTATCCTGAGCTAGTCCTAGGCCTCAGAAAGTACTGTATTTTTTATTTTTGTCTGATTTGCAGTCATAGATACTGCACTTTGGTGCTGACACTGGGCCCAGGGCAAGCATTCTCTTAGAATAGGTGTATATACTTTTGAATACATCGCTGTTGGATAGATGTTTTAAAAGTTTCTGGTTTTAAAGGCCAAGTTGTAAACGGAGTATGTACTTATATGGAGTGACAAGTAAGGTATTGTTTCTGTGTGTGCGGTTTTAGCAGTATTTTAACCAACTCGTATTACTGATGTCACAGTTCATCTTTGAAAGTCAGGAAAGAGCTAGTGTTTGTCTTTGTTCTGATGATGTGGAGTCATGTTTTGTGGGGTTTTTATGGTGCATTTATCTTTTGCTCCATCCAGACCTCAAAGGCCAGTCCAGTCTGACGCATCCCACCCTCGGACAAGCCCGTTCTCTGCTTCCTTTCTTCCTGTACCCACTATGGCATCCCTCCCAGGCCTAGATTCCTGTTTTCAGTTACAAACTAACCAAAAATAATGCCACCCCTCCATGGGTTTTATTATTGTTATATACCATACTTTAAAAGTATAGACCCTAAACTTTTAGTTTGTTCTCCCAACTGAATACTGAGTGTAGTTTGAAATCCAAATGTGGTAGTGTTCATGGACCAGTATTTTCCAGGCTCTGTAAGAGAGTAAGACAGTCCATAGCACAGAAGTCACCAGGAGCATTCAGAACTGTTGGGAGAAGCATTTGGGTCACTGCCCAGGGCCTTTATGGGCCTTCTTGTCTCACTTGCCCAGCTTCACCTTGCTGTCCTCTGACACCATGCTATCGAGGGCTGTTGGTGGCACCTGTATCAGGCCACATCCTGGCTCACATAAACCAGGGGAAACAGCACAGGTTCATGCATCTCTGTAGAACTCAGTTAGGTTCATGCATGAACATGAGTTCATTTTATTTTTTTAATATGGCTTTCTCAGAGATACTAAACCATTTTTGTGCATAATTCAGAGAATTTATTCAGTTCTTATGTTTAGAAAACTAAGTATTTATGTGTCACCTAAAACAAAACTGAACGTGTCTTCTCCTCTTAATAATCTAGTGTGTGCAGTTACAAATCTGTGGATAAGCCCATAATGTTCACAGAGGGCTTGGCATCTCCTAGGAACTGATTCCCAGAGAGGAAAGCTCAAAGGGAAACCTGTGACTTTTCCTTTTGAGCAGATGTGGGAAAGACACCATTGGAGGATATGGGGTCACCTGTGAAATCCAGTTCTACGTGTGGCTCATTGTCAGCAGTCCTTATCCAACAAGTTGTAAAGGGTTCTACAGCTACCATCACCATGTGACGTAGGACCCACATCCTGTGAGGAGTCAGATGGGTCAGCATGGAGTACAGGAGGCCCTGCCTGGGCCTAGGGCAAGAAGCCAGTGACGCTGGCAGAACAGTGCAGCCCTCCTTGCCTTCCATTTTGAGGAGGTGCTGCCAGGAGCCTGTCCTCTTGTCCCTGCTCAGGCATAAGTGTACTTTGCTTTGGGGCCTGCCTCTGACACTCCTGGAGCCTTGCCTCTCCACTGCTGGATGGAACCTGGAATCTCATCTACCTCTTAGTTTCTACATGTGAGAAGCGAGCTTGCAGGCCAGTGTCCCTCCACATGCTGTAGCACTTAAAAAATAATCCTAACGTTCCCTGAAAACCAGTCCCTGGGTTCCTATGATCTGGAGTTTGTACCTGGATTATCTGGTGTTGGGGACCTGAGTTTTGATTGGTTAGCCTTAATCACAGCCTGGCATAATCATGTAGAATCTCTTCTGGTGATCACATCATTAAGTTCATCAGGGCACCCATGTCAGTGGTGCTATGCTGGTCAAAAATTGAGATTTTGAAATAAAAAATTTGTCATATTTATGTCTGTAATTATGTGTTCTTTTTCCTTGCTTAAGTTGTTAAGGTTGAAACAAAATAGGGAAGTAGTAGTTATTTCTCTGTTAGCCCTGCTTTGACTAGTACTTTTTAAAACTGAGCCCTCTATATAATAAAATTGTCAATCCATAACAGTAATTAGGTCATTCCACTCAAATTATTCCTTCTGCTTTCTCCAGCCCTTCATGTCTTTGAGCTGTGGACTTGGGTGAGCTTTCATTCTCAGTCCACCCACTTATTCTCGAGGACCAGCTCGACCATGGACTTTGTTCTGTACCTGCCTCCCAAGTTGAAATCTCCATTTGCCAGCATGGCTTGGCTGGGGAAGAGCTAGAAGCTGATTCAACACAAAGCAGGACTTTGGCAACAGCCCTAGTGGCCTGGCCTTAGGAAACAGTGAGTAAAGGTTGATTAAAAAGCACATCTAGCCAGGCACAGTAGTGCAGGCCTGTAACCCCAGCAATTTGGAAGGCTGAGGCAGGAGGATCACAAGTTCAAAGCCAGCCTCAGCAATTTAGTGAAGTCCTAAGCAACTTAGCAAGACCCTGTCTCAAACTAAAACAAAAGAGTCTGGAGATGTGGCTCAATTGATTCAAGCCCCTGGTCCCCCCCCCCCCAAAAAAAAAAAAAAAGAACATCTAGCCAGGCTCCCATGGCACACACCTGAAATTCAGGAGGCTAAGGCAGAAGGATCTTTCAAGTTCAGGGCCAACCTAGGCAATTTAGTAAGTCCCTGTCTCAAAATTAAAAGAGCCTGGGATGTTGCTTAATGGTAGAGCACCCCTGGGTTCATCCCCAATACCAAAACAACAAACCCTAACTACCTGGGGGGCAAAGCACAAGATGAACAAAAGAAGCAAAGTGTTGATGCAGAAACAAATTTTGAAATTAGGAAACTCACCAGCTTCCAATTACTCTCACCAAGAAAAGAAGTGAGTTGTGACCTGCCCAATCCTTTCTTCCAATTAACTCGCCTTTGCAATATGTTCTCTTTAATTTCTCTGATGATCTAGGTGTCAGGTTCAGGTGCCATGGTTAACTGGGCTGCGCTTGGTGAGGGATAAGGGAAGAAATTAAGGCAGGATCTAAACATTAAAATGCCCAGGTGAGGGCTGGGGTGGGAAACAGGCAGCTCCTTAGATGCCCCGAATTAGCAAAGGTAAGCAAATTGTCCTTTTGTTAGCTTCTGCCAGTCACAGGCTGAGACAGTCTCTCAGAAAATTATTTAATAATAGAATTACATGCTTTTGGCTCAGGTGTATCAAAGCACAAGAGGCAAGCACAACTGGCAGCACCAGTCTGCCCTGGCAGGATCAGTACAGAGCAGACTTCCCCGTGGCTCTTGCCTGTGGGTCCAAATTCAGCCGGGTGTGTCCAGTAGAACCTCAGGGCACTGTGGCTTCGGTCGTAAGGTCTCTTGTCTGGCTATAGCTTGAGTTCACTGGGCATTGGCTCCCCTCTCAGACCAGCTAGCAAGTTGTTAGCCGCCAACAAGGACATGATGTTGCGAGTTCTGTAGGTGGCACTGCCTATGTGGGGTAGGATGACTAGAAAAAGAGGAGATAAGGACAGCTCAAGACTGTAAGCCAGGTCTCCTTCCATGCCATGGATTTTCCAGTAAGAAGGAAACAGAGAACCTGCCTCAGTGTTGTTCTGTTTGCCTTCCCTCCTGTCACTCTC